AACAAAAACCCTAAATAGATAAATATATTATTGTAACAACATTGACTTATTTTATTGTTCCACATGACTATGTGTTAAACGTTTATTCGGATATTTTCAGGTGAAACGTTATGAAACAGGGCTTCTGAAGAGATTTGATACAACGACGAGTAACAACGACTAAATTAAACGCAATGGATGTTACATAGACGTAAACTCATTTACATTAGGCATAGACTCTTCCAAGCAAAGTCTGAGATTGATTTTGATTTAATCAGATAGCGAAAACATAATGGCATCTGTGAGTTCCATCAGATCTAAAGAATGGCGCGCTAAGCGTAAAGATGATGCAGAATATTGGGAACAAGAGCGAAAACGAAAACGGAAGGCAAGACAGTCATGTTCCGAAGAGAAGAAACAGCATGACAGGGAATTGAGTAAGAAAAGACAGAAGAGATTTCGGGAACGTAAGAAGTCGGCAAAGTGCAATGTTACATTTTTGCCATTGGATATATCAACTGTTAACGACGGAGGTAGGGTACCAGCTATTTCTGATGATGTGAGATCTTCTGGAGAGTTTGGTATACTATCAGTGTCGAATCCTAACACATTCCATGTTAGTATGGATACAGATTTGGATAAGGGACCAGGAGATAGTGTTTGCGAATCAGCCGAAATCGAGGAAGAAGGTGGTCCTGTGTTTCTCTATAACGTCGATGGTAACAAGTAAGTATTTGGCAGTTAACATTGTGCATGATGTGAGAGAAAAACATTAAATTTAACTATGCATATTTCAACTGCCTAACTGTCATTACCGATTCCTGTTCATGCACTCATATCAACGAAGCGGCTGATCCTAGTACCCTGTTTTTTAAGCTCTCACCCATTTCACTCCATCCCCTGTACTCCTCACCGTCAACATGAATGTAAATAAGATGTAAGGATCATTGGTTGAAATTTTTAAAAGAAGTCGTACATTTTTAACGATCTTCCTCCTTGGTCTTTGATTGATGACACTGCATATAAGTTTGTAACTCTTAACTTTCCGAGCTTCGTATGAAGTTTTCACCACCGCTCATATGCAGGATAGTGCACAGTTATACCTGCTATTTATACTTACAGCTGGCACAAGAAAAGCAAACCGTTGACCGAACAGTGTGGCAATAAAGGAGCTGAAGGCATGGCGTCTATTTCTGTTACTGGTGGCGAAGGAAGAGAAGCATATTTTAAAAGAATACAAGCTTCATTGTCTGAAGTGGAGGACTTTGATTTGTTACAAATGAAGTGTAATGAATTCTCACATCAAATCGAAGAAATGTACCCTATAGAAAATCTCCCAACACTGGACGTGACGGGATATCAATTGGATAATGTCGCATCCAGCTTGTATCCACACGAAGATGCACCTGATGATTTTGTTCCCATCAGAACAGTTGGCGATGGAAACTGTCTGCCACGAGTCGGCAGTTTGTTCGCTTTTGGAAATGAAAAACACCATAATGAAATAAGAGTCCGGATGTTCATAGAACTGTGTCGATATGAACATTATTACTTAGATGATTCTTATCTAAAAAGAGGAACAGAACAAGGACTAGTCAATATTTCAAAGACTCTGGCATTGTTTTCAGATGTGTTTGTCCCACATGAAGAAGACGGAGTCCGGCTTGCTTTTCGGCAATATGTGAAAAATATATTGAAGACGAACAGCTTTAATGGTATGTGGAGCATATTTGCACTATCTAGCGTTCTTGGTGTGCAAGCATTGTCAATATACCCATCATATGGTGGGTACAATGTGAGACCAGATCTCCACCGTCTGGTCATGCCTCGAGTGTTTCGACAGGAGAAAAGTAAAACCGTCCATATCATGTGGACAAGCACACACGGAAAGCAAGTTGAGCCCAAGTCATGGACTCCAAATCATTTTGTCGCTGTTCTTCCAACACTCGATAGAAGACCTACACCAAGAGAAAATGATGACTTACCAATGCAACACGAGCAATCAGGATCGCAACCTATAACCGACTCAATCAGGTAAGGTTTTTAACACCGATAATTCCAACAACCATAGATACA